CCACCCCCCGTCTCTGTCTCTAGTGGCTCTCCCTGTTCCAGGCCCCCCTCCACCAGAGGCTCTGCACGAGCTGGTTTCAGCCCCGCCCTCCAACCCAAGGGAGCTGGGGCTGCAGCTGCACACTGCGGCAGGTACAAGTTTACAAAGCCAGCAGTTCCTCAATACCGTGATTTCTCAGAAAAGTGGGTTTAAGATTCTGAAGTACCTAGACTTATGGTGGCTGCAAGGGTGTGGGCTCACCCCAGGAAGGCCTCCCCCGCGAGTTCCCCTTCCCCGAACCCAGAGTCCCCCTCACCAGTGCCACCTGGCCGTCTGGCAAACTGGAAGTGCAATATTGTTTTGAAAGTCTTAGCCAGACTTATAATGCAAGATAGGGAAATTAAAGACATCCAGATAGACAAACAGGAAGTAAAACTCTATTTGGAGACAATATGAAAACTATACACAGAAAAACTCAAAGACTCAGCAAAAAAGCTATTGGAACTCATTGGAAGGATGCAGAAATGGAATTCATGAGGCATGTGAAAAGTGGAATAGTGTGAGTAGGGAGGAACACATTTTTATGAAGACTTTGATAAGAATTTGGATTTGTCTTCAGGAAGAAAAAAGAAATGGAAACAGAACAAAATCAAACAAACACACAACAACAAAACTACATAGAGTTCAGGACTTTATTCCACAAAGCAAACCAAACCTAATCAAACAAAACAACAAATAATCCACCAGACAAAATAAAACAATTAAAAATAACAACAACAATAACAAAGCAGCTTCCAAAGGGTGGGCAGGATCTGGTATACATTGACTCCTGAAAGACAATCAAACACAATAGAAAGAGTATAAGATCGGTATGCAAATTGCAATTTCTACTTTTTTGATGTGAGCTGGAGGGCAAATAGATTCCCCTATTTCAGTCTATTTCCTTTGCTTTAAAATAATAGGGTGATTGTAGCTGTGATATTTAAGGTTTTGTGTCAACGTGGCTGGACCAGGATTCTCAATTGTTTAGTTGTTAAGGTATAATAATACCCCATGATGAAATCTAATATAATGTAATCAGCTAGCCCCAGTGTGATCTGATCTGATCCGCCCTGATCTGACTTAATTATCTTATGTGCTGCCAATCCTCACTTCTATGATGTTAATGAGGTTGATTTTAATCTATGGGGTTAAAGGAGATTGAAATGAGCAGAGGAAGAAGAGCCTAATACCACCAAAGAAGAAGCGCCTGGAGTGGAGTGTGTCCATTGGACCTGTGAAGCCCTTATACACAAATGTGGATTGATGCCAGGGCACATGGAGATCTTCAAGAAATGCTGAGCCTATAGATGCTGAAAGGAGAAAAGGACCTTTCTTGAGCCAGCATTGTGAATTCGGAATTTTAGTCTCCTAAACTGTGAGAGAGAAAAAAAATGTTTTTTCTAGTCACCCACTTGTGGTATTTCTGTTAGGATAGCACTAAATAATTAAGACAGTAGTTATCTCATGGAAAAATTGTGAATGCAATAATAAAATGTATATTAATTATTGGTGTACTGTATTGAGAATATATGAATGAGTCATTTATTAATGCCACATTTCCCTTTACCATCTTAATCTACTAAATTTACAATATGGCATATATTGTCCCCAGTCCTGAAAATTGTTTTTCTTTCTTGATTGTACCGTCATTGCTTAACTGAGACACTTCTCCCCTTTCTCTGGACTGAAGGCATTATTTTGAGAAATTTCTCATGCAGTATGTCACATTGAGGTGAGTTTGAATACAAACTCCACAAGGCCATTGCACTGTTCAGAGTCAACCCAGCCATTGGCAGTACAGAAATAGGAGTATTTATCAGCAACCACTGCAGACTTGAAGAGGTTTGAAAATCAGGGTACTCAAAGTTTCTACTTTGACAGGCTCTTCCTCGTTATTCTATCCATTGCACCAAACATAATTATTATAAATTATTAATTATAAAACATAATTATTGCACCAAACATAATTACTCAAACATAATTGAAGACTAATTCTCAACCTTTTCAAAACCATGAAGCTGCTACAAGTCGACATTGTGGGCTTGGAGACAGTTCAAAGGACAGACAAGAGATAAGGCTCTTGGAAATGACAAGCAAAAACATAAACAAGGTTAGGTAATCCCTGCTTTGGATTAGGGTTTGTCTATATCTGCAATAGGAATTAAAGGGAGTTCCTGACTTAGAGGAAGAAGTTAACAATAATATATATATATATATATATATATATATATATATATATATATAATCTGTGGAGTATTAGTCACTGTTTTAACAGTTTTTTGTTGTTGTTGCTGTTGTTTTTTAGAAAACCAACATAGCTGGGGTGAGGAGTTGAGCAGCATTTTCCAAACAATCGATAGTTTTAGATTATCAGGGCCAGGGAGTTGTAAGATTTTCAAGTCAACAAAGCTTATCTTGGCTTTCCACAGAGCTTTTATGTCAATATCTTTCTACTACTCAATATCTTGATCAGATAAACTCATTTTTAGGAGTTTTAAGGCACAGAGATGAAGGAAGGCCACAAAGCTATGAAGGTTGGAATTTCTGGGATACAAGAATTTGAAGGCAAGGAGTCTTCACAACATTTGTCAAATCTTGCTATGTGGGTGATGACCCGTAGGATCCTCTGCCTGTCTGCTTGCTCTGATTAGCGTAGATAATTAAGGAGACTGTGGAATTCTGGTGTGGTGCAGAAGGATAAGCACTGGACCGAAAGTTCAGTTTCAACTGCAAGGTGGTGGTTCAAACCCACCAGTGTCTCCTCAGAAACCCTATACAGGGTCACTAAGAGTTGGACCACCACTCATTTGTCAATGTGTCATACTGTAGTGGCTTGCATGTTTCTGTGATTCTGGAAGCTATGCCATCAGTATTTTAAATACCAACAGGGTCACCCATGGTGAACAGGTTTCAGCTGAGCTTCCAGACTAAGAAGAATAAAATGGATTACTTCAAAATATTTAGTCTCTGAAAACCATATGAATAACAAAGGAACACGGACAGCATTAGGATATTGAATACTGAAACATAATGAAGAACCCCAGAATATTAAATACTGAAACATAATGAACATCTGAATACTGTCAGATTTTGTAGTTATTAAGTGCTATTCAGTCAGTTCCAACTCACAATGACCAAGCATAGGGTTTCCAAGAAGTGACTTGTAGATTTAAACTGATTACCTAGTGGATCAACCAACCTTGCAGTCAAGTGCTTACCTTACAGTACCATGCCAGGACTCCCTTGTCAGATACAGTGCCAAAAAATGAGGTTTTCAGCTTGGAAAGCACACAAAATATGACTTGGGAAGAGCTGCCTCCTCACAGTAGAGCTCAATATGAAGATGCAAATAGAGTAAAGATTTCTGGACCTTCATTTGCTGATGGTCACAACTTAAAATGAGGAGTTAACAGCTGTAAAAATTCATTAATAATCAGAACATGGAATATACTGAATACAAATCTAGGAAAACTGGAAATTGTCAAAAATGAAATGGAATGCATAAACATTGATATCCTAGGCCATCAGTGAGCTGAAATTGACAAGTGTTGTCCATTTTGAACCTGACAATCACAGGGATTACTATGCAGGGAAAGACAAATTGAAGATGAATGGGGTAGCATTTGTCATCAAAAAGGACATTTCAATTTAGACATTGGTATCAAAAATAGGGTGGTGGTGACAGACATGAAGTGTCTGGCTTATAAGCTTTCATGAGTGTGCTTAGTTTCAGAATATTGGGGGGGGGCAGTGAGACATAGAGAGCAGACTGGATAAGAAAACAAACTGTTTCAATATGCTGTCTATAAGAGACATATCAAAAAGATGGAGACAGCCTAAATATCCATCAACACAAAAATGACTAAACAAATTTTGGTAAATACACACACAGCAATACTACAAAACATTGAAGAATAATGATTAGTCTGTGAAACACCTCACAGTATGGTTGAACCTGGATATTATGCTGAGTGAAATTAGACAATCACTAAAGGACAAATATTTTATATTACTAATGTAAAATTCTGGGGGGGAAAGGAGTTTTCTGGAAAAAAAGGAGCAAACTTTGATGGTTATGAGGGAGGAAGGGAAAATTATCCATGGGCTAAAGGGAAGAAACATTAACATGAGTGACAAGGCAGGCAATATACATCAAGAGCTAAGTTACCAGAAGAAAGATGAATGTAGCAGGAGAAACAGGGAGACATACAATAGATAAAGTAAATAGAGGTAGGTATTGTTACCTGGAGGGGATTTCAACCATGTAATGAAGCAAAGTATATGATGTGCTGAATGTAAAACTGATGGATTACTCAGTAAACCTTCACTGAATTCACAATAAAAAGTTATATAAAAAAAGAACAGTTCAAGAACTATCTTAAAGTATAATGCTATCTGTAATAGGATCCATACACCTACAAGGAAGACTAGTTAAAACACATATTATTAAATTTATTACTAAAGGCAGTGATGATGAATTTGAAAAATTCAACCAATTTATTCAGTCTTAAATTGATCAAATATGCAATCAAGATGCACTGATTACTGCTTATTGAAAAGCAAAGGTGGGAAACAAAGAAAAAGGATCAGAAGTTGGAAAACATGGCCTTGGTATTAGAAACAAATTTGGAGATTGCATAAACGAATTTTACAAGTCCGATGATTTATTCATTGCAAATACCTTTTCTCAACAAATTTAAAGACGAGTATGCACATGGACCTCACCAGATTGAATACACAGAAATCAAACTAACTACATCTGTGGAAACTAGGCTAAGGCGGACTGTGGAACAGATGATGAATTGCTCATATGCAAGTTCAGGCTGAGGCTGAAGAAAATTAAAACAAGTCCATGATAGCCAAAATTTGGCCTGAAACATATCACACCTGAATTTAGAGATCATTTCACGTACAGATTTGATGAATTAGAAACAAATGATAGAAGACCAGAAGAGTTGTGGGATAACATCTAGAGCATCATGCAGAAAGAAACCAAAAGATCATTAAGAAGAAAAGAAGGGAAATACCTAAATCAATGTCAGAAAGACTCTGAAACTTCCTCTCCAGCATAGGGATGCTAAACCAAATGGGAGAAATGAGGAGGTAAAAGAACAGACATTTTCAAAAGGCAGCTTGAGAAAACAAAGTCAAATATTATAATGAAATGTTCAAAGAGCTAGAGTTAGAAGAGAAAATAGGAAGAATATGCTCTGCATTACTCAAGCTGATAGACTTGAAGAAAAATTCAAGCCTTGACTTGAAATATTGAATGGTGAAGGTATACACACAGTCACTGTACCAAAAAGAAATGGTTGATGTACAACCATTTCAAGAGTTGTTGTTGTTGTTGTTAGGTGCCATAAAGTTGGCAACGACTCAAAGTGACCTATGCACAGCAGAATGAAACAATGTCTGATCCTGGGCCAACCTCACTATTGTTGCCACACTTGAGTCCATCGATTCTGCCACCTGACCAATCCATCTCGTTGGGGGTCTTCCTCTTTTTCTCTGACCCTCCATCTTACCAAACATGATATCCTTCTCCAGCGACTGTTCCCTCCTGACAATATGTCCAAAGTATGAGAGACAAAGTTTGGCCATCTTGACCTCCAAGGAGCACTGTGTCTGCACTTCTTCCAAAACAGATCTATTGGTCCTTTTGGCAGCCCATGGCACTTTTAATATTCTCCTCCAACACCATAACTCAAAGGCATCAATTCTTCTACGATCTTCCTTATTCACGTACAGCTTTCACATGTATATGATGAGTTTATTGAAAATACCATGGCTTGGGTCAGGCTTGGGTCAGTCCTCAAGCTGACATATTTGCCCTTCAACTCTTTAAAAAGTTCCTGTGCAGCAGATTTGCCTAATGCAATATGTCGTCTGATCTCTTGACTGCTGCTTCCACGAGTGTTGATAGATGATCCAAGAAGAATGAAGTCCTTGACAACTTCAATCTTTTTTTCCACTGATAAGAATGTTGTTTATTGGTCCAGTGGTGAGGATTTTTGTTTTCTTTACATTGAGATTTAATCCATACTCAAGGCTGTGCTCTTTGATCTTCATCAGTAAATGTTTTAAGTCCTCTTCACTTTCAGCAAGCGACCTTGTATCATCTGCATATCACAGGTTTTTAATGAGTCTTCCTCCAATGCTGATGCCACATTTTTTGTCATAGAACCCAGCTTCTCGTATTATTTGCTCAGCATACAAGTTGAATAACCTTTCCCAATTTTAAAACATTCAGTGTTCCCATGTTCTGGTCGAACAACTGCTTCTTGGTCCAAGTACAGATTCCTCA